ACACACACACACACACACACACACACACACACACACACACACACACACACATGTATAAACTGATACTCACACAGACACACATTATGGAAGATGAGGACCTCAGGTTTTATACTTTGTGCATATTTGATTTTTAAAGTTACATTCGAATTTATTTGAATTCCTTGCAATGCTATTTGTTTTAGTAAGTGTTTTTTACGGCACCTACAACACAATAAGGCCATATAAGTGCCGGAGATTAGAGCTGTTACAAGAGAGTAACAAATTCAGAAAAGGAGGGGAGGGGAGAAAAGGACCATAGATGTTTGATAGGAAAGAAGGAGCATACCACTCCAGAGCACCCGCCAACTACCCACCTTATTTAAATTCAATCGCATTGTGCCAAAATAAATGGTAATTTTCGCCGCATCCGCGAAGGAAAAAAGTTGGGCTGTCCTCGACTCCATCACATGAATCCACCAGGCGGTGTGCACTGAGTATAAAGCCCAGCGCACACTAGGACTATTTCCGTTCGTGTTCACGACAGCAAATATACAAATCAGGCCATTTGCGCCCGTTCGCCTATCTTCCTTTAGTAAGAGTCTTTTTTTAATTTTATTTTTTTAATAGCACTTGCAACACAATAAGGTCATTTAAGTGCCGAAGATTGGTGGTTTCCCAAGAGAGTAATAATATACACAAAAAAAAGAAGGAGGGGAGATGCGGACCTTAGATGTTTGATTGGAAAGAAAGAGCAAACCACGCCAGAGCACCCACAAACAACCAACTCGCCTATCTTCACCGACAAGTGACGTCATCATTTGCAGCCGTGCGACGGGTGGAAATTTTTGCTCGTGTGTCATGCTCAACACCCCAATCGGCACAATTTAGATCATTTAGGAGGCGGGCCTCGACCATTATCTGTAAGGACTGAAAGGGATGCAACGTCCCAACAGAAAAACCTAGATACTGGATGAAAATGCTGCCCTTACGGGAATCGAACTCGGGTCTTGTGTCTGCGAGTGGAAGCGCTTTACCGCCACACCATAGACGTCGGTGAAGAAGAAGAAGAAGAAGAAGAAGAAGAAGAAGAAGAAGAAGAAGAAGAAGAAGAAGAAGAAGAAGAAGACATTGCTGATAATGATCTTAAATGATTTGATTTTCTTGCAGCCGAACTCTTTTCTACAAGGGTGACCTTGACATAACCGACCTGACCCCGGCAGACACAGGGGTGTACACATGCGCACTTGTTTGGGACATGAAAGGGGTAAAGAATAACGTGACTTTGGGACTTTTTAGCCTGCAGGTAGGAAAGAACTCAGTATTTTGGAGGTATTCCGTCTAATCGATTCCTTCATCTCTCTGTTTTTGTATATTTAAAAACCTTTCATTGTATTGGTGTTGTTGTCCCCCCCCCCCCATCTTTTTCGTTCAGTTTGATGATTTTTCCACATCATGTCTGGCGCCTTAAATGACATATTTGCAATAGTTAGTGGAGCTGAGTGGTTTTAATCAATCACATTCTTTGAGACCTCTTAGTTCAGGGTCAATTTTTATATAATTCGAAACTGATTTGGGTTTTATTTCTCGACAATAGCTCGTTCCTTCAAAACGTGTATTTTCCATGCTTGCTGTTGTTGCTGCTACTACTACCTCTACTACTTCAACAGGATTGCATCGAATTAATAGTCCAAACACACACGCACACACACACACACAAACACACACACACACACACACAAACACACTCGCCCATACACACATACGCACACATACACACATACGCACACACACATACACACACACGCACACACATACACGACATGCAGAGAGAACACGGGCAGAGAGAGAGAGAGAGAGAGAGAGAGAGAGAGAGAGAGAGAGAGAGATCTGAAAAAGATAACGAATAGCAACAGGGAACATCGGTGTGCCAAGAACACTAACTTATGTTCGGACTAAAAGCCGAGTGGATTATTTTTATTACGTCCCATGCCCTTTCAGCCAAAATTGTTCATGGACACGTATTTTAGCATATTTGATTTTTAGTTTAAGTTACCGGTTATTTGGGGTGTGGGTGGGTGGTAAGTATTGTACAGTGCTCGCAACTGCATAAGGTCATATGAGCGCGCGGGACACACCTAATAATTTCAGTAAGTAGGAAATTTTGAATTTTGCCACGGTGGCAGCCGAAGCCTACTCATATCGTTTTTAGACCACCAAGGGACCTTTAATGTGCGCAACTCAAACACGGGACCTCTAAGATTTTTCGCCCTTGTCCGAGAAGGCTAGGTGTAGATCTTTCCTACCAGAAGATCAGGGGTGGGGTTAAAAGGCACCAGAAAGAGTCAGGAGGGGGCAAAGGAGGTGAGATGGGCAGGGGCGGCTCGTGAGGCTAAAGAGTGGACGTGCACAATTAATAATAATAATAATAATAAATAGCATTTGTATAGCGCATATCCCCGCTCAACAGCAGGCTCTCTGCGCTTTACACTACATTATTACCCCAGTAGACCATAGAACACTCCGAAACATTCTCAGCTTCCCGGGAAGCATACAGTGCAAGCAGCTGATTAAGCGCTCAAACA